TCCTGGGCCTGCTGCCTCAACTCTTTAGCTGACTGAGCCTTTGTGCCCTTATGTAAGTGCATTGACTCCTTCACCAGCTGGATTACATCCATGAGAAGGAAAACACCTGCAGTGGCTATACCAAAGTCCTATGAGAAGGAAAACACCTGCAGCGGCGATACCAAAGACCCTGGCTCCTTTGCTTATGGCCACAACAGTGCCTCCAATAGCTTTCTGCAGCTGGTTGCCACCTTGGACTGACATTACCCCCGTGCGCATGATGCTCGTGGCCTCCGCTGCTAAGAGAGGATTGGATTTGACCAGATTGAAGGCACCGGCATTCTTCACAATGTCTTTCAGGGATTGGATGACCTTATTACCTGAGGAAACCATTTTGGGTATGATGCCACTTAGAAACTCCTTGACCACCTTCTCTGTGTCAATGCCGGTTGACAATAGGCGGCTGGCTTCTGCTTTAGCTGATGCGTTCTTTGAGAACTCCACGATGCCAGTGGTCGCACTGGTCACAGCAGCTGCTGCCCCCAGTCCCAACCCAGTTGCCAAAAGCACCAGACTAACCCCTGCTGTCACCGGTGCTAGAGACAGGCCAACGACGGTCAGGATGCCAGACACAGCGCCGGTGGAAGAAGCCGCCACTTGGGTGATGGTGCAGTCCCTGTGCACCTTGTCAACCCCATCAGCAAGTGCGTAGAGCTTTCCTATGCGTTCCTCAAGGTCCTGTTTCACCTGAGGAAACTGCTTCATAAACCTCTCCCTATGCTCCTGCTCTGCTGAGGGCATGTCTTCGTCTTCCACGGCCAGGAGTATTTCCAGCTGGCGCAAGTCTGCATAGAGTGCATCTGCCGCATCCCTGTAATCATGAAGGTCAGGTGATTAATGAAGGCAGTTAGCTTTTCCGTAAAATGGGCCCAATAAGACCCATGTTACATAATCACAGAGCTTGGACCCTAAGTCAAATAGAAAAGAATTTTACAAATGTAAGGAATTTTTCTTTCAATGTTAACACATATTTTGTACCTTGTAGATGCTCCATAATACTTATTGAGACAGGGAATAAATATGGAAAATCCTCTTAGGGTGCTCTTAAGTGGTAAGTATTGCTTTTTAAAATATATATATTTGCCCTAACTGGTTTGGCTCAGTGGATAGAGCGTCAGCCTGCAGACTGAAGGGTCCCAGGTTCAATTCTGGGCAAGGGCATGTACCTTGGTTGCAGGCACATCCCCAC